GCAAACAATGAATCATGGAACACTACATCAAAAACTAATGATGTAATGTATGGTGATTAACATAACATAATAAAATAAAATTTAAAAAAAAGAACAGATTATCTGGATCTAATATTTTTGGTTTGTATTTTTTTCTCTAGAACACAGAGTGCCTATTCAATATGTAGATTCAGTCTTCTTTAGTTCTGGGCATTTAAAATTATAATAATTAACATTTGTTGAGTATTTACTATGTACTTTATGCATTTATCCAACAAATATTATTAGAGATCTATTGTGTGCCTAGTGCCCCTCACTACTGGGAATAGAGGGGCAAAAAAAAATTCAGACAAAATTTCCAACCTCGCTGAACTTGCATTCTAGTCAGGGAGGATAAAAAAGAAACAGCACAACGGAGCCCGATATGGAGCTCGATCCCACAACCCTGGGATCATGACCTGAGCTGAAATCAAGAGTTGGACACTTAACTGGCTGAGCATGCAGGTGCCTCTCCCCTCAATTTTGCTGAGAATCTAAAAATGTTCATTTCTAAGCATTCTAATTGGTACTAGCTAGTGTATACTGTTTGTACAAGTTGATTATCTATATGCTAATATTTAAAAATTGCATTAATTACTATATGCATTACTCTTTCTATGTGTATTTCTATGTTACTATGTGTATTTCTCTTTCATTTAAAAAATATGGGTGGCTCTTCAGTATGGCTGTCCTTGGTCAGTGGTATCTTTGCATAAGCTGTTATGCCTACTAATAATCCCTAACCTATTGGAGAGACACCACTAACAGCCACTAAAAAAGGTAAAAAGTCAAAGATAGAGAAGTCCAAGCAAATAATTGAAAACAATTTCAGTTCCAGGAAATCCTAAATATATTATGTGAGGTTATCATTTCTCAGAGGCTATTTCAAGGATTTACAGTGTATGGGATATGCTTCATACAACATCAAATAAATCCAGCTCCATTTAGATTTGGTATCAGTATAAAAATAAGTTATTAATGATGTTAAACAAACTGTGTCAAAGTAGGGATATTCTTTGTGAAATATGCAAAACCTACCATATTCCATTGACCGTCATTAATAACTTTGCCTCCAGTTGTGATTTTGGTTGTAAATTCATTCTTAAACTGAATTTCAATCCTTCCATCACGAAGTGCAATCAGGAACCAAGCTGAGCGGTCAAGAGATTCTGCATACAGGATAACACCTTCTGAATCATATGTCCGGAAATCAAATTCGGCTGAAAATCTAAATAAAGGACAAAGAGAAAGCCTTAATAGAGAAAAATGGAAAGCCCAATAATTATTCTTTTTCTCTTACGCTAGCAAACAGCAGTATGTTGAAAGAGCCAACTATTTCTTTCTTTACTGGAATTAAAGCGTAGGGCAGAATTAGACTGTTCATGTGTTATCTCTGGTTCCATGGGTGTTTAAAATCAAGTTATTATATTTTCTTGCTTATTCTTGGAGTCTTTTCCCCCTGTGAACAGATGCTTTGGTAATTTTTCATATTTTTTGGCATTTGTTTTGAAGGCCCTCTTTTAAATGCTGGAATTCATACACATGTACAAATATTAGATATATTCTATTTCTCCTGGAGCTTTTTATACACTATATAATCTAACATTTTGACATTAAGATTCCTATTTTTTTTTTTTTGCAGTGTCCATAAGTGATTAGTAAAAGATGTTACAATTTCATGATTGGTTTATACATCAAAAGGCCCATTTTCCCTGTAATTTCATATATGTCAGGAAGGAATCACTTACAGAGATATAGACAGCATATGGATGACTGCAAGTATAATTAAGCCTTCATGTGTGGTAAGAAACGTAAAGTAAAAAACTTTAAAATATATCTGTTAGCTTGATTTCAAAAGCTCTCCAGAGCTCTAATTGTATAAATCACTAAAGCACATGAAAGGACAGCTTGAAAGCTGTAGTCTAGCCATGTGCTTGGGGGTATCTGAGCTCTGGCAATGACTGTTGCTATTAAGACCTAGATACATGTGTAGCTGTTACAGGGGAAGAAATATCTTAGAAATGCTGGATTAAAAAATAACATGTATTGATTAGTGCCCTAATGACACTGTAATGAGAATCACCATTAACATTTCCAAGAAACCAGAAAACCAAATGATTGAAAAAAGACAAACATGGAATAGAAAAAATAGTTGTATAACTATTAGTCACTTGAGTTAAGCTAAAATAAAGGTAATTTGAGCTAAAAAGTCAGGACTTCAGATAATTGCCAAGTAAGGCAAGAAAGAATCCCACAGCCTTACCTCCTAGTAATAGTAATAGGGGCACCATATACAACTTCTAACTTCAAATGGAACAAAGAAAGGCTGATAAAATAAATTTTTTAATCTTTAGAATTCCAAAGAAATATTTAAAAGTGGTCATGTGGGGTAAAGTATGTTGGACAGATAACAATGTAGTAGTAATTGACTGAATTAAGATTATTCTATTTTTTTTATTTTTCATTTTTTGCTTAGGATAAGGACCTCTATTCTCTTTCATAACCACCACATTTTGCTGATGTCAAACATGTATTATCTTGTCAAAACCCAAATCTGTGTATGCTCAGGATCTTCCAGAAGTTGATCCTATTATGGAGGTAATTTTCTTCTCTTTGCAAAATCATGCTAACCCAGTAATACAGAGTTGTGTTCTGCGTCTTTCCGTCTGGAATATTTCAGCATACATTGGGGAACAATTCATTCTTTCTCTGAAGTTTTGTAGAATGAAAAAGATGAGTGAATTTGTTAACTTTAGGATAGGATAAATGTTTGATCATTGGAAACAGAGCTGAAAGAATTGGCAAAAAGGAGGAGAAAAAAGCAACAAAGCACTGGGTGTTCTTTGTGTTGCTTACTTACCAAGTGGCAGTTTCTAAAAAAATTCATCAAGCTGTACATTTAAGATATGTGTATATTTCTGTATATGTATATATGCTATACTTCAATAAAAAGTTTAAACTAAATAAATAAGGAACAAATAAATAAATACTGAAAAAATAATTATTTGATCCAATGTTAGAGCCCAAACTGTTGTGAGTTGTCAGAACTGAATCGCCCTGAACATGCCTAAGTGTGTAATAATTAACACTTTTCTCTCTCATTCTCATTATTCTCTTAGCAAAGGAAATGTTGTCTCCAGTCTATGTCACTAGATAATAATATTTGCTCTGAGATGTTAAAAGGGAAAACCAGGTCTTGGTGGATAAGGGTATTGAAGGAGCACAATTATATCAGTGAATTTTAGAATACAGTTCAATGTTCCTTAATGATGCGATTTCTATGAATTTAATTGAATTATTTAATGAATAATCATTCATATATCTAATGAATTAAATTGTATGTATGCATGCTTATCTAATTAAAATATTTTAAAATATGGACTCTATAATCAGTCACAAATATGTTTCCTTTCCATTATTCAACAAAATTCCAATTTCTTTTTTCTAGTTCCAACCATGTATGACTCTGAGAAAATATGGTAATTAAAGTAGAATCATGACTCCAGAATACAACTATTCTTTCCATAGAGGCAACCTAACTGTAGGAATAACAGAAAAGATACTCAGTCAACTAAAATCATGATGTGTTTTTTTAAAATACCACCTAAGCAATCTTACGAATTTTCCTTAATAATTATGAATATAACTATATTCTAAAAGCAATACTTTGAGTATTTTCTCATTACTTAGTTTTTATAACACGTATGAAGAAGAATGAAAATTTCACAATTATATTAAATCTACTTTCCCAACTTCTTAGTAAATAAATATTCACTAGAAAAGGAAGAAGGATAAAGGTAAAATGATCATTGGGGAAGGTCAGCCTAGAATGACCTTTAAATGATGTTAGCATGACAATTACATGTGTGAAGGGGTAAATCAACTTTAGTGTTCCCCAAGTCATCTGATTGATAATATCCCTAAATTATCTAATTGGAAATGCAATTTTACACATTTCAAACCTTTTCGGTCACTTATCTTCTGTCCTTACCTGCTTACCTCTAGAGATTATCACGGACATTGGTACCTCACCTGGTGATTTCCGGCAAACGAAATTTTAAATATAAAGCCACGCCTACAAATTGCTCTGCCAAGTAAAGTAATTCATAATTTTTGTCAAGGTTCAAGGGAAGGCACACTGGAACAGCCTGGAGAAAAGGAAAGAAAGCAAAGAAACAAAATGCATAGGTTATTACTTGCTGTTTGTGTCAGGTTAGGCATTCCTTTCTCTGATTCCTAATGGTCTTGTCAAATGTATCCTCTGTGATACGTTAATTAAATTAAGAACACCCTTGGTAATAAAGCAGCATCCTTTTCTTCCTTATATAGTCCATCAGTATAACATCCCAGAACACGTGTTTTAAAAAGTCTTGCTCATTGTGTGTGGCTTATATTTTTGTCCTTACTATTTCCTTTGCAAATCTCAGCCCAAAACACAACCGTTTTCTTCCAGTAACAACACATATCTCCTTAATTAACTGCAGCTCTGATGCCTTCTAAGAATTACATTGGGGAAAAAAAAATTTGGAGTCAGAAATCATGGAAGAATTAGTATACCAGTAAGTAGCACCTCAGACATTCACTCATTCATTTATTAAGAAAATTTTTCTGAGCAAAAATGTATAATCTAGATAATGAAGGTGAGGTAAGGCAGCTGAAGGGACTCTATTTTAGAAAGTCTCCATTTCTGCTGTTTTCTTGCTCAGCCCTATTTACTCATGTTCTGTATTTCACCTCGCATCTGTGTAAAAACCAAAGAAGCTATGTTCCCACTCCAAGGGGGAAACAAGAAAGTTAATCCTTCTCTGAGTTCTGTCCTAGGCCCCAAACATCTGATAACATCTAAGAAGACCCAGATCCCAAAAATATTCTAGGACATTAGCTTCAAACAAACCTCAGCTGACATTGGCATCAACAGCCCCCACCTTCAATGATTTATTAAAATAACACCTATTGCTCACCTATCAATCACTTGCCTTTGATGGGACCCTACCCTGGATTCCTGGAGGAACACACACCCTGGACCCCTTTCCAAAGAAACCCCTAGCCCTAGATAATAAAGAGACTCATCCTCTTTTCCTTTCTGAGTCCCCCAGACACTCTGTCTGCTATACTCTGTCATTCACACTATTCAATAAACTCCACTTTCACTTTCCCTGGCTCACATTTGATTTCTATCCTGTGGGAAGCCAAGGAACCCCCTGGCTGGTCCTGTGGGAACTCCCCTACCCCATCTCCCCAGGTTCTCAGACTCAGCCTGCCTGCATCAAAGGAGATGCTGGAAATTCTAGATGGGATAAATATAAATTAAGATACCATGTTAGTCTCCAAGCAATTTACAGAAAAAGTGATTCAGAGTCATTAAATTTAATATCAGGTTTTTTTTTTTTCTAAGAGTAAAAGCAAACATTAAAACAGAAAGCTTTTTAGGGATAAGTTCTTGGGCATACATATAGGGATATTCAGGGGGGGGATCTGTGTACATGGCACTGTATTAAATCAAGGTCCAGAAACAACATCTCATTTCCTCTTAGAATTTCAATAAATCTATTCCAAGGTAGATGGTGATGTGTAACTACTACAAATACTAAAACAATAAAAGATTAAATTACAAAATAGACATTCACACAGCATGGCATTCAATTAAGTACAGTTGGAGTTACTGCATATGCCAAACATCTCACCTTACCTTCCTTTACCAAGTAGGTGGCATTTATTGAATGTTACATTTTTGGACAGACACAGTTTTGTCCTAGTAACAGATACAGAGGTATGTGAACACACATGATTAAATCACCATTTAGGTGGGTTTTGTTTTGTTTTGTGTTTTTACTGTCTGCCTCATAATCCTGTGAAAAAGAATGCAAGAGTTGGACTAAGAATCACTAACACATGATCCTTATATACAGGAAAAAAAGCTTCAGATGTTGACCTATTTATTTCAGTGAAGGAGAAACTACCCCTAACATTCAATTGTTGGGTCAATTATGAATTAAATCCAAGTAACTAAAAGCAAGTTTGAGAGATACAGATTAACAAAATTGACCTCTCTGAATTTTGATATACTTTTAAACCCCACTAAATTCTAATCTGACAGTTATTTCCACCTGAGATTTTATGAGCACTCTTTCAAGTACCGACATGCCAAAGTGCAATCAAACTTGTCAGAGTGGGATAAGGAAAAATACACAGAGGAAAATGTTTCTGCTCAGGTTTCTAGGTAAGATTTTTTTTCTCACAAAGAGAAGTATAAACCTCACCTTTTTTTAAAATTTTTAAATAAACATACACATTGTACTTTGTAAATGTACAGCCCATACAGATGAGCACTTTCTGAACTATGACCCTGCAGTCGGGTTTTTTAAACCTAGTCACTAATTATCCCCGATATTTATACCTTACATGACCAAAATTAGTAATTGGATTGTGACTCACAGCCTGCTAGACCTATAGCAATTATTATAGAACATCTGTATTTTCCTGGGGCACCTGGGTGGCTCAGTCAATTAAGCGTCCGACTCTTGATTTTGGCTCAGGTCGTGACCTCAGGGTCGTGAGACGGAGGCCCTCGTGGGGTTCCCTGCTCATTAGGGAGTCGGCTTGAGATTCTTTCTTTCCCTCTCTCTCTGTCCCTCCCGTGCTCACTCACTCTCGCTCTCTCTCAAAATAAATAAATAGGTCTTTTAAAAAAATGCATCTTTTCTTAAAAAAAGAACATCTGTATTGTCCTGACTTACCCAGCTATGTGGAAATAAGTACACCAGTCTCTCATTTTAGAAAAGAGATGGTAAGTTTAGCATTGCAAAATGTTACCTCACAGCTCTTGTGATCTTGGGCAAGTTTGAATCCTTTTTTCCCATCACAATAACAAGAGTAACCTCCAGGGTAATTGACACAAAGTTGAGCACACATGTTCTCAGAGCATTCGTCCACATCTGGGGTAAAAGAGAACATAGATCTTAATATCTTCTAAATGTTCAATCCAATAGGAGTATTCTGATTTTAGTATAAGATAATCAATGATAATAAGGGCGCCTGGGTAGCTCAGTCGGTTGAGCATCTGATTCTTTATCTCAGCTCAGATAATGATCTCGGGGTCTTGAGATCGAGCCCCGCATCAGGCACCATGCTTAGGGCTGAGTTTGCTGAGATTTTTCTCCCTCTCCTTCTGTCCCTTACCCTTCTTGTGTTCACTCACTCTCTCTCCCAAATTAAATAAATAAATAAATAATCAGTGATACTAGATTCTTAGCAAAAGAATCTCTGTGACATGAAATCACATTTCAACACTTGGCATGGGAATTTAAATGGGTTACAAGTGTAATTTCTATTTACACAAGTGAAACAACAAATTTAATATATAACTTTCAGTAATAAATAATAAAAATATAACAACTATACTAATTTTCCAATTTTTGAATTTGAAGGAAAAAAGACTGAGAGTCTCAAGGCAACTGTCATTTCTAACTAAATGAATTCCATTGAGATTGCCTTCCAATTGTTTGCTTTGACAAAAGAAAGGGAAGGGTAAGGAAGGGAGAGGAGAGGAGGGGAGAGGAGGAGGAGACAGGGAAGAGAAGGGAAGGGGAAAAAAAATCCCTTTTAACTGAAGGTTAATATAATCAGGTATTACATAATATCAAGAACATCTGACATTCTATAATGCAGTGGTTGATAGTGACAAATTAAAGGATGTATCTTTATTTCTTATCATTTAAAAAAGAAAAATAAACCCCACTGTGCTATTACGTCTCATATTGTGAAATCTATATAGCCCCATATTTTGAGAAAATCATCCTCGAAAAGTTGTAAAAACATGCTTCAGCTAAAGTCTACTTCAGAGCTACATGAGATCCTTGATATTTTCAATGCATGCACCCTGTAATCTTTGAAGATTCACAAGTACATAAATGCAAATATTAGTAGCATATAAATTCCCCCATAAAATGTCTCATAATACAACTGCAAAATTAGTGATCTCTTAGCATTAAAATTAAATTGCAGATAATTAAAGTAATATGAATACTGTACCTATGTGTCATATATACATCTTTTTAAAAAAAATCTGTCATTCATTGTATAAAAGTACAATATACATGATGAAGTTGGCTAATAATAACTCTGAATATGACCATAGTAATTTCTATCTGGAGTTGTGGGAGAACAGAAATGGTGTGTGGAGGGGATATTTTTTGGTGAGTGCATAGGAGGTAAAACATCAAAATATCAACAGAAGCAGATATATTTGAAAAAAACCTATTCTAAAATTACTATTGATTTAGGCAAATTCATAGAGACAGAAATTAGATTAAAGGTTATCTCCCAAAAAGTAGATTCAGAAAGTAGATTAGAGTTTGGGGGAGGGAGGAGGGGAAATTTATTGCTTAATGGTTATAGAGTTCTGGTTGGGATGATGAAAAACTTTTGGAAACAGAGAGCAGCAATGGCTCCATAACCATGTGAAAGTAATTAATGCTACTGAACTGTACCCTTAAAAATGGTTAAAAGGGTACATCCTATATATATATATAGCATGTATATATATATAGCCATAATAGAAAATCACTATTGATTTGATTAGTTTTAGTCATGATATTAAATTTATCTTGAAATGTTTAAAAATTGAAAGGAGGATATGAGATAATTTGCATATATATCTATGATAAAAAAAAAATCTCCCTAATACCTCCATGCTACATGCACACCTGGTAGCACTCTTTTGGCCAAATGAGTCCAAAGGGTTCTCCCAAATCCACAGGCGCCGACAGTACTCATCAATACTTCTCAAATTTCTAGAGCTCAGTTATCATTTAATTATGATGAGATTTTTCTTTTATATGCATTTAATTATAACAGAACTATGTCATTTTCTATTTAAGAATAAATGACATATGGATACAAGCACAGAAAATTATCAAAAACTTGGTATAAAACTGAACGTTTCTTTTTTTTTTTTTTAAAGATTTTATTTATTTGTCAGAGAGAGCACAAGCAGGGGAGCAGCATGCAGAGCAGGCAGAGGGAGAAGCAGGCTCCCTGCTGAGCAAGGAGCCCAATGTGGGACTTGATCCCAGGACCCTGGGATCATGACCCGAGCCGAAAGCAGACGCTTAACCGACTGAGCCACCCAGGCGTCCCAAAACTGAAGGTTTCTAACCATCCATGTAACACCTATGTGATTTTTAAATTTGTCTTTCTTTGATATATGTATGTTTTTCCTTCCAGGTTGAAATTCTTTTTATCTTTGAATATTATTTAAATGATGTGAAGGTATGTTTATTTTGCTTTTATCATACATGGGAGGTCTCTGATTCATACGTAGCTTAGAGGACAGAGTGCATAACTCTAAACCTAAAGACCATGTGTCTTACATACTTTTACTGTGGAAGGAGGCCAACGACTACCCAACTGGCCAAGCTGTATCATGGAGCTTGCCATCTTAGAAAATCTGATTGTGGATGTCAAACAGAACCAATGCTTCTAATCTCAAATCAAGGTTCAAGCCCACCCTCTCCACCATTAACATGATACCACCACAACTCTACCTCCACAAGACTTTAATATGGGATTGTATCTGTAGCCTTCAGCACATTCGCATTCAAAGTCTCCTGGGATGTTCTTGCACACAGCTGTGCCACAAATGTCTGGCATCACAGAGCATTCATCCACATCTATAAATGAAACCAATAAATTAAAAAAAAAAATTTCCCATACCAGAGGATACTAGCAAAGAATGCCTGATTTGTGTTTCCTGGATCTAGTTTAATATATGTAATGAGACAACAGAGTGGCCTGGGAATAACAAAATTTTAAATCTATCATCAGGTTTTAGTTTGCTAAACATGATTTCTCCATACAAACATATAGGGAATGTGATGTTTGCTATGTTCTTCATAGTTATGTAAAAGGAAAGGGCTTTTAGTTATTTTCTTATCTGCCAAGTTGTATTACACGAATAAATGGGAGAAAAGATTCACCATATTCTTAATATATATCTTAAATACATGTTTTTGAAATATGTTCTTAAGGTAGATTCACTCTGCATTATCACAAATATAAAAAATAAAAATGAGGTGGCTCATCAGCCATGTCTTCCTTTGGAAATGGACAGTAGCTCAATCAGCATACTATTACTGTTGGCTAAAGTATTCAAGAGTGATTCAAATTTAAAAAGGAATTGAGTAAGGTCTCTAGGTATTTATAAAATTCCAATACAAATTTTAGTGCTAAATTAATATCCAGAAATTTCAGATGCATTTATTATATTACATGGTAGAGTAGGAAACAAAATACTGATTGCAACTAGTCACTAGATAAAAGCATCTGTGAGAAAAACAAAACAAGTGACAGAAATAGTTCAATGGAGATGTAATTATTAGTGAACTTTTCTCATCTGTACCCTCTGGAGACAGACAAGTTCAGAATGGAAAATATATTTTGTACTCTATAAAATTGAGAGTTTAATTTTTCCACAAACTAATAACCAAAATTTCAGACATTACTCTATTTTAAAAAGCATGAACAGAAATAACTGAATCAATTCCTATATAAGGGAATCCTCCTGTATCATGACTGTATCAATGTCAATATCCTGGGTGTGATATTGTATGACAGTTTTGTAAAATGTTACTATTGGGGGAAACTCCACAAAGAGTACATGCGATCTCTTTCTATAATTTCTTACAACGGCATGTGAATCTCTAATTACATCAAATAAAATATTCATTTTTTTAAAAAGAGCTATAAAAGCTATATTTTAAAAGAAAGTGAAAACATATGGCTAAAATTATTTGGTTTGAGGCATATTGCAGAGCACTATTTAAATCATATGAGTTCAGGTTATAGTACATTGATTTTATTACTCTACACTGACATCTAATGTCTGATGAAAAGTTTTATTCTTGCATTGTAGAATAAATTACTGTAGACAGTTACTGGCAACTTGATCTCAAGCATATCCACATCTTGGCAAAGGCCCTATTGTAATAGTTGTATACATATTCTTCTATCACCTAGTTCATGGATAAAGTCTGTGTAAGTTAAGTATACAAGAAAATATTTTGTGGTCATCAGGGACATTCTTATGTGTAAGAGGACTTTTTGTAATAATTTATATACATGTATATTAACTCAATGGATAAGAATTAAATACCTTTTAACTAAAAATATAAGTCACAACTTCTTTAGAAGAATAGACCACTCAAATATTTAAATGCAGAAGTATGAATGGATATTACTTGCTTATAGAATGCATATGGTATCCTGCATTATGTTGGTTTTCTATAGTATTCTAACAGTATTGGTATTCTCAATTTCTAACCTCAAACAGACCTTGAAGTAGGCAGACAAGAAAGATGTATGGTCACAAATTGGATAATGGTTTAGGAGAAATTGTTAGTTAATGCAGTTCACTTCAGAGTCATTTAACTGAACTTTAAATAATATTATAGTAAATTATACTATACTAAACACTATAGCACAGTGAGGGACAGAACATCCCTTGAATATGAATTCAATTTGGGGATTTCCCAAAGCAGATATGGATAGAGTTGAACAAGGACACTTTATGTTTTAGCTTACTATATTTTTGCACCTCATAGCAAAAAGGAGAGGAACAAGTAAGGTGGGCGGGAGGGAGGAAGGAAGGAAGGAAGGAAGGAAAGGAGGGAGAGAGGGAGGGAGGAAAGGAAGAAAGGGAAAATTATTTCCATTTTCTAAAGGCAAAACTTAACTCCAGGCTGGAAAATTTCATTTTTAGTCATCCACATGTAGCACAAATATTTGAAGATTTAATTACGGCAGTTAAAACAGTCAAATAGGAAGGAAATAGGCAGAGGGGAAAAAAAGTCAAAATTGGAGGGAAACATAAGGACAAAGAAAAACAAAGGAAATACACTAGTAAAATGACTTATTGAAAAGCTAAACTTTAAAAAAAAAAGAAAAGCTAAACTGACACAGATTATTTAAGTCTGAAGAGAAAAATAGTTATGACCAATGATATATATGAGAAATGTATAAAGAGAAAGTATATGTATAAAGAGAAAGAAAACTAATTCTTCATCTTTCCCAAAACCACAACAGGAGATAAGGTGCAAGAAGAAAGGTTTATATTGGATATTTGACAGGTATATCTAAAAGGAAATATGAAATATAGTGGAAGAGGTTATTAAGGATTATGAGGGATTACTTTGTATAGCTGTTTATCTTATGGAATAAAGGAAATAATATTATAGTGGCTGAAAAAAATAAAAATAATGATTTTGCAAAGTCTCTAGTAAGCAAGGACTTGCACTGAAACTTCACTTTATCACCTTTTAATGAAACTCTTTATTCAAACGTGTACATGCACACACAACCACACACAGACAGTAAGAAAATAGTAAAATACTCAATAAATAATAAAATACAATAAGAAAACAATGAAAAATTCCATAAATAACAAAATAATCTATAAACATTAAACTAAAAGGCAGTCCCTTAGTATCACAAGGCTTCAAGGTGGGTAATAATGTATATTTATTACAAGCACTTATAACCAGAGAGTCCAAAGAATTTCCTGGGGAAATTCCTCTAACCGAACTTTGCTCTCACACAGTAAATGCCTTCTTGCTCTTACCTTTGCAGTCCTTTTTATTTAAAAGCATAAAAAAACCACTTTTACAGGAACAGTGGTAACTTCCAGGTGTATTATCACATATCTGGCTGCAACCTCCATTTACATTTGAGGGATCTTTGCATTCATTTATATCTAAGAAGGGAAAAATAAATTATTTTTAAAGCAATAAGCCTTTGGAGAACTTTCCAGGAGGCCAATCCAGATGAGTCAGGTGGGTTTAGTAGACATACCATATTCACACTTGTCTCCTTGCCAACCTGATTTACAAATGCAAGTGAATCTAGCTTGACCATCTCTGCAGCTCTTATATCCATCTTCATTGCATGGCAGAGGACTACATTGGTCTGGAATGGCTGAAGGAGATAGACAGTTATTTAATTTTTACCACATGCCATGGTAAAAAAAAGAGTTATATACCCTTTAATAGAAATCCTGTGCATGGAGCCTGTAATCAATGAAAAAAATTACAACTCCTTCCTTCAAATAATACTTTTTCATAGAAAAGTGAGTCCATTGTTTTTTCCTCTATGATCATTAGCCTTGTTTCCCAAACTCCACATATGAGTGAAACCACATGGTATCTGTCCTTCTCTGACTGACCTACCTTGCTCAGCATAATACTCTCTAGCTCTAGCTACATTGCCACTAATGGCAGGACACCACCCAGGTGTCCCGGATATGAAAATAATTTGATAATTTGCTGATTAGCTTGTCTTCTAGAATTTTAACTAATACCTAATTTTATTAGCACTTTTCAAAAAACTTGATTTTATGAGGACATTTGTTGAAAATCTGGTAATTAGGGTTTGGTTAGGTTTAAAACTTTTTTTTTTTTTAACATGTAACAAAAACTTCCTTAGGCTACTTTAAGCAAAAGGGACTGTGTTAGAAGGAACTTGCAGAGTTAACTAGGAAGGCTTGAGAAACAGGTGGAAATGTGCAGGAACCAAGGGACCATTGCTGTGTCTAATGAGGGGAGAGAAACCATAAATACACAAATGGGCATATCATTAAAGATGGTGATAAAGTGCTGTAACATTTTATGAACAAAATGGCCTTCCCCTAGGAATCACCAGTACTCTGCTATCTATTGCCCAGTGTCTGGAAACCATTGTTTTATGTATTTTGAGCAGAGTTGTATTTATTTAAGGCAGGAAGATAAATCTAGTTGGTGTTACTTCATCTTAGCCCAAATTGGAAGTCCCAAATTCTTTTTTGTATTGATACTGAGTAGTTTTATTTGTTCTGCCTACCACATTTGAGTTGTTTTAAGGATCGAATAAGGCAATTTATATGAAAATAGCAAATTACAGTTGTAAATATATACTGTATATATTGTATAGTTGTATATATTTGCAAATATAAAAGTAGTTCCCTTTTGCAAAATAATTACAAAGATTTGTCTAATGGACTCACTTTTTTTTCAAAAAATTTTTATTTAAATTCCAATTAGCCAACATACAGTGCAATATGAGTTTCAGTTGCACGGTCTAGTGACTCAACACCTACATACAACACCTGCTGCTCATCACAGCAAGTGCACCCCCCAATTTCCATCACCCATTAACCCGTCCCCTCACCCACCTCCCCTCTGCCAACCCTCAGCCCATTCTCCATAGTTAAGAGTTGGCCTGGGACCCCTGGGGGGCTCAGTTGGTTCAGTGTCTGCCCTGGGCTCCAGTCATGATCCCAGGGTCCTGGGATCGAGCTCCACATCAGGCTTCTTGCTCAGAGGGAAGCCTGCTTCTCCCTCTGCCTGCCGCTCCCCCCTGCTTGTGTGCACTCGCTCTCTCTATCTCTCTGACAAATAAATAAGTAAAATCTTTAAAAAATTATTTTCATATCCTCTGGTAAATTAAAAAATAAAGTATGGATTAAATATACATGTTCAGGCAAACTGTTTTACTTGCCTAATTACAACCAACTGAAAATTAGAAAAAATTCAGATAAATGAATATTTAGATAATGCCAATGCCACAGGTAAAACATTCACTAGATGAACCTCCCAATTTACACATTGCCATTTCACCTTTTTGTCTTTGACTCTCAGCTGGGAAATTGGGAAATTAGAGACAAATAATCTACCAGAGTTATCAGTAGGCCCTATATGAACTTCAGAGGGAGAAGGCTAATTCGATATTCTAACATTTTTCACATTTATATGATTGATGACAAAAATTAGAAGAATAAACATGGCTCCACTTTGACCTATTAATCAACTTATACATGGTTATGCAACAACATCTAAAATAAAGCTGTGGGCGGGCGCCTGGGTGGCTCAGTTGGTTAAGCAACTGCCTTTGGCTCAGGTCATGATCCTGGAGTCCCTGGATCGAGTCCCGCATCGGGCTCCCTGCTCGGCAGGGAGTCTGCTTCTCCCTCTGACCCTAACCCCTCTCATGTGCTCTCTCTCATTCTCTGTCTCTCAAATAAATAAATAAAATCTTCAAAGACAAATAATAAAATAAAGCAGTGGGGAATAAAATTCTGAAGTCAAGGACCTAAAGCTTAGTAAACAAGGAACACTGTTCAACTTAAACATTAGGTGGAATATTTATTTTGAGTAAAAGAGCAGCATTTACATTTGAAAAAAAAAGCTTTCAAATGATTTGAGAATATCTCCTTGCTAGGCACACAACTCTTATAGGACTCATTTGTTGATTTTAAACATTAGTTATGTTTACATAGTGTATTTTATTTACTCGCAGGTTTTTACTTTGTTTGGTTTTGTTTTTTTCAACGGATGATAGAGATGTTTACCAGTGACACAGCTCCTGAGATCAGGGTGAGCATCAGTGGACTGACGTGCAGCAGTGAACAATCCAGCTCGGAAAGAGCCAAGACAACCTGTAATTACAAACAAATGTAATCTTTTTAGAGTAGATACACTTACTTCATCCGAAATCATGGTGGAGGTAGAAATTATCGAAAGTGATAGAATATTTATCTTCCTGTGGAGTGACAGGATTAGGCATTCAAAACATCATCCCTAAATATTTCCATCCACATTTTTGAAAAATTAAAAATTCTACACGCAAGATTACAATAAATACAGAATCATGAAAAACAGGTTTGTGGAAGCTTCTTTTGGAGAAGAACCTTAAAGAAGTGAAAAAGATCTTAGATTAACAGAAAAATTTATTGGCAAATAAATCTATGCTCTTAACTCTGCAGCAGAGACCTAGAGTTACCCTCAAATCTGTAGACCAGAGTCTAATTTAAAAGTGTCTATAATTAAGTCAATAGATTAAGTTAGTGTTTCTGGCTGCTGCAGGCAACTTCTAATTCTCCCAGTGTTGCAGAGAGACTAATATAATAATATTTGTATAATGCCTCAATATTACAAAGTAGGTTTACTTCATTCATTTTATTCCTCACTATAACTCTGTGAAATTAGATACAGCAATCTGGCAGCAAAAACAGCTGAAATAACAGATACTTATATACTTTAACTAGGAGACATTCAGTGTCAATAACATTTCTTAATAGTCTCTGAAGACAACATTATTGATAGATAGATAGATGCAGATATAGATACATCACTTCACTGTACAGCTAATCACAACTTACTAAAGAAGTGGTATTTTGATTATCTTTTGCCGAGTAAACAACCCCCAAAATTAGAAGCTTAAACAGTTCCTCCATTTTGCTCACAATCTGTGGGTCAAATATTAGAAAGGGTTTAGTTGGGCTCTTTGTCTCTGTTGCACATAGAGTCCAGCCAGGGTAGACGAGATTGGAAGATCCAGCTCTCAGATGGCTTTTCACTCACATGGCTGACAGCTCAGGCCCCTTGGCATCTCTCTCTCCACATGTGGTCATACTTCAGGGCTTCTCAATGTGGTTGAGTTTCTCTTAGCATGCTGGTCCTACAGTAGCACTTCTTTCACGGCAGCTAGCTTCCAGGAGGAAGAAAGCAGAGGCTACCAGGCCAAAGAAGAGGCATTCTGTCACCTGCACCACAGTCTATTGATCAAGGCAATCCCAGGGTACATCCAGATTCAGGGAGCAAGGAGGGACTATATGTTTATGATCACTCCATGCTACTGCATATAAGTTATTGCTTCTAACTTTTTGCTTGTTAAACTTTACTCCATTGCAAGCAACCACCATTTTTATAATGCCCTCTACCCATGAAAGATACTTAGATTGCCCCCAACTTCCCACCTCTACAAGTTGAACTGCAATGGATATCTTCATGCGTGTTTCATTAGTACATGCGTAAGAAATAGATACTGAAGAAGAAGATACAGAAGGGGTTTCAGGAATTGTGGGATCATTAGATAGGCAGGTCCTCTGTGGCTCTCCAGAGGTGCCTTCACACCAGAGAGCATAACAATTTCTATACCTTGGCTTTCAGAAAATTTTTGCCATAATAGGCAAATAAATGATATCTCATTATTTTTCTGATTTCTAGTGAGATGGAGGATACCTTTATGTCATTTAAAATTTTTTTCCTCCTCTGAAAATGTTCCTTATTATTTATTAACTATTCTTCTATTGGCAGTTATTTATTGTTCAGGTGGGCTTGCAGAAATTTAAACATTTATGAATACCATCTCTCATTCTGTTACCTGTCTCTTAACCTTATCTTTTATGTCTCTTTTAAGAGAAGTTCCTAATTTTGTTGTAATCAAATTTACCAATTATTTTGTCTTATGGTTTGTGCATTTGCAGTTTTTTTCCATGCCATTGATTACAAAGATATTATGTATTATTTCTTTAATTTCATGGTTTTGCTTTAACATTTTTTGTATTTATTCCAGCTAGAATACACCATTACATTTGGTGGTGCTTAGGAACTCAAATTTATATTTCTGATTAGAGTTAGTCAATCTCCCCCACACCATCTTCTCAACAATTCAGTGATTTGTGGTGTCGTCTTTATCAAATATTAGGTTGGCATATATACATGGGTCTGTCTCTGAACTCTCTCGTTTCATTAGTCTATGTGTTCTTTTGACAATATCATATTGTTTTCTTTCTATAGCTTTGAATTATTAGTATTTGATGAGGTGTTTCTTCCCTTTACATTTTTAAATGTTTATTTAGACATGGGTGGACTTTTATTCCCTGATTTAAATGCTAAAGTGAACTTACTGAATTCTTTTAAAAAAATCCATCTGGAATTCTAAATGAGATTGCTTTTAATATATAGATTAATTTGGAGAGAATTGCTCTCCCTACAGTATCACTCAATCAAGAACATGAAGTGTCTTTCCATGATTTCAGTTCATCCTGTATATTCTTAATTTGAGTTTTAAAATTTTCTCTGTAGAGGTCATATAAGGCTTGTTACAGCAGGAGATATCAGCTTTTCATTTTCGACTGGACTGTGTAAAGAACTACTACTGATTTTTATAGGCTAGTCTTAGAGCTATCTAAAAATCCCTTATGTGTTCTAATATATTGTCTATGGAGCCTATTTATTTCTAGGTATATCATCATATCAATTATAATTAATGACAGGTACATATTTTGCCCATGAGCTATACAGTTCTGTTTATTTTTCTTTCCTTATTGCATTGGTTGTAACTTCCAGTGCTTATCTTCTTATCCTTAATCATAAAGAGACTACATCTAAAATTTAACTGGCAAGTATAATGTTTACTGCAGATTTTGGTTTTTTTTCTTCCTTTTTCCCTTCCTCCTTTCTTTTCCTTTCCTTTTCTTTCTCTTTCCTTCTTTCTCTCTCTCTCTCTTTCTTTCTTTCTCTTTCTTTCTCTACTGTTGTGTGTATATCATTAGCGTGACCATACATGCCAATTTTCCCAGAACAGTCCTATTTTGTTCTTTTTTACCTGGCATTTATCTATGGTAGTACTGGTCCTGGACAAAAATATCAAAATTTGTAAATTATATGGTTATTCTGTATAACCTTTACCAAGCTCAGAAAGTTCTCCTATAATCACAGTTTGCAAAAAGGTTTTATATTAAATGCTGAACTTTATCAACTGCCTTTTCTGTATGAACTGAAGTAATAATACACTCTTTATGTGGATAATTAAATTGATAGATTTTCTGATGTTAAGCCATTCTTGAATTTCTGGAATAAACCCTTACTTTATTATGATATATTATTTTTAATACACTTTAGATTGGATATCATTTTATTTAGAATTAATTTATAACTGAAAAGGAATTTTATTTTTATTTTTATTTTCTTGTGTTGTTCTTATCTGATTTTGGCATCAAGATTACACCAACCTTTCTGAATAAGTTCACAGCATAGAATCTTATTCTCTCTTCTGGGACAATTTTATAAGAGAAAATTATCTATGCTGGGCTTATAGTATTTCTTCTTTTTATCCTACACTTTGTGTTTTGGCATTTCCTTTTTCCTTCTTTTTCTTTTTCCTTAATTATTCTTACTAGAGGTCAATCTAACTTACTAACCTTTTCAAAGAATGAGATTTTGCTTTTGTGATTCTTCTTTTTTGTTTTCCTTCTTGCTACTAAGTTTGCAGTATTGTACTTTTAAATTTTTTTCTTGATTTGTATGTTTAGGTCATTTTTTAAATACTCCAAACTGTCCTCTTACTGCTGCCTCAGCAGTCAGCACCCCACTTCCCCCACACACATACTAGGTCAAGCCAGCCTTCAGTTTATCCATGGATTTCTCACATTTCTTGTTGTTTTTCATTTTGTTTTGTTATCATTAGTGTCTGGAATGCCAGTGTTTCTCTTGAGATGATTTTAAGAGAAGGAGTCAGCAGTCTGGGCTAATTCACCCCAACTTGGAAAGAACCAGAAACTAGAATTTATTTCTAATGTTTATATTTAGGCTCAGAACTGAGCATTTTTCCAAAGAAGTTTATCTTCCATTAATACAAAAATCCACTCTATCAGGTGATATTTTAAAGGCCCACATAAATAGTAGGGTGATTCATTCTATTTTCTAAGGAAAGAACAGAACTTAAAAACTTAACATTTCTATAATGAAACCCACAAGTATTTTTTTACCAAATTCCATGTTTCCAATGCAGTACATAGGATATGTGGATAAACTGAAGTACTTTCTAACCCCTGAAACTCTAAACCTAAACACTGCCCACTGTGTATTAGTGATCTAAGTTCTTGGGTGTCCCTGTCTCACTCCAAGGAGATTCCTGATAAGCTGGGGTAACTAGTAAAGTTAGGTTAGGTTTGCCAAGGACAGGATCATAAAGTTTTTCCCCCCCAATTAGGGCCATTGGCCTATAGAATATATACATCAAACGACGTAAAAGTTAAGTAGAGCATTTCTTTTCTGTTTTCAATAGTGGAATTCATTGCATATGCCTAAACATAAGTAAAGACCAAAATATAAATTGTGAATCAAAAAATAAAACACAATAAAAAGTATAGTTCAAATTAGGGGTTGGTTAAATAATAATACTTTACATTTGAATAAAAGTGTAAAGTAAAAAAATCTATCTACATACATATACTTATTTGGTACTCCCAACAGGTCCGAAGTTAGAGAATATAATTACAGTGCACATTTAAATACAAAACCTGAAAAGCAAAATAACTTGCTTAACCTGACACAGTAGAAATTTTTAGATCTGGGAGTAGAGCCCACATCTTACAGGTTTTGTTTTTGGTTTTTGGCTTTTGGTTTTCTTTTTTGTTTTTTTCACTTGGTTATTCTACAATGCTGCCAAATGAGACAAGCAAAGAGAAAAGAAAGTTGAGTAGAGCCAGAAAAGAGGAAGTTGAGAAGGAGAAAAGGAGAAAAAAGAAAGCTATTTTATCTAAGGAATTTTCCCAAAATACATAATGTTGTATTAAAAAGTTATCTATGGGGGTTACTGGGTGGCTCAGTCTTTAAGCGTCTGCCTTCGGCTCAGGTCAGGATTCCAGGGTCCTGGGATGGAGCCCCGCATCAGGCTCCCTGCTCCGTGGGAAGCCTGCTTCTCTCTCTCCCACTCCCCCTGCTTGTGTTCCTGCTCTCACTATCTCTCCCTCTGTCAAATAAATAAATAAAATCTTTAAAAAAAGTCATTTATCTTTATCCAAACGTACTCTGTGATCAAAGGTATGTACTTCTAGAGTGCTGATGCCCACAAAAACAGAGCTTCATTACATGGACCTAAGAAACAAGGATTAATACTATATTTTTTAATGCAAGCTTTTAATTTTTAATAGCCAAATATCTTTTTATAAAATATTTAAACCCCTACCTAAAATTGAGAAGCTGAAAAAGTCTTGACATTCTATCTTTTCTCCACGTTAATTTAAATTATGATGATTTATGTCATAAGCTTTGGAGAGTGTAGAGATCTTTTCTTTCAGCAAAAGATAATCCATAAGTTCCAGTTATAGAGTAAACAAGCCTTAGGGTATAATGTATAGGATGGTGACTATAGTTAATAGTACTGTATTGTATATTTGGAAGTCGCTAAGAAAGTAGATCTTAAAAGTTCTCATCACAGGAAAGAAAATATAACTATGTGTGGTGATGGACATTAACTAGACTTACTAGGTGGTCATTTTGCAACGTATACATACATATATTAAATATTAAGTTGTATACCTGAAACTAATACAATGTTACATGTTAATTATATACCAATATTAAGATAACCCATGACAATTCATATGCTTCTAAAGAATGTCCTGATACTTAAATATAATTTATCATCAGCCCATGGACCTTTATGACAAAGACAAGAGAATGAAAAAGACTAAAAGTCAAAATGCCACACATTCATTAAAGAACCATTTCAAATTTGTCTACATGACCTTAAATAAAAGGACAGCAAAACTCCATATAAAATGAACTCTTACCCCCAAGGCTAATTAAATTATATTGGATGGAATAGATGGGTGGAAGATTGGACTTGATCAAATCTAAATTCCCTCCTATTTCTATGATTATTATGATTGAGATTCTTTGAACTTACCTAAGTATTTTGGATAAAAATAATCCTAGAAAGAAAGAAAAGAAAAAATACATCTTAGCAAGCCTAAATTTCACTATACAGTTAAAACTTAATTTTATAATGTGTTTTATATTAAATATGCAAATATATTACATATAATTATCATTTCCACATTACAACATTTTTGCTATAGTAAAATATGCCAGGAGTAGATAACTAATAACAATAAGCCAATAAGACACTTAGCTTAAATCAATATTAAGCAATAAAATCATGTTACAAAAGCTTCTAATTTGAAAACAGGTTCTACTGAAGATGTTACATGTAATATATGCTATTTATAAATCCTTTAATTTTTCCATAACAATCAGATACCCACTTGACACATTTCATGTCATGCTGATTATATATGCCACATTTAATGTTGAGTAAGAGTGACATAATTTGAAGTGAATTAAAGTGAATATTTATCTTTTAGCATCTTATGTACATGTAATACCTTACTTATAAATTGGTTATGTACCAAAAGTTTGTCTGTAAATCAGTAATTTGGACTAAGGAATGTACTTTTCCAAAGGGAGAAAAATGTTATAAATGATTTCTGAAGCTACAGTTCTTAGGCTGGTTCCCCAAAGCCTTCTTAAGCCATAATATATCTAATGTGTAACATTAACAGCACAAGAATACCTCACAAGAAACCAGTGTTTCTACACAAAAACATACTCAAGTAAGGAATATACCTCATCCAGTTCAGAGCCAAAGTCTCTGCCCTTGCCTCCTCTCCCATATAAACCTATAGAACACTTGTCTACTCGTTTATAAGGATGGGATCTCCCACTAAGTAATTCAAACAGTGGTGTTTTCTTCTACAGAACAAAAGCCAGGAAGATAAGCAACAATGAATAGGTTCAAAAGGAGATGATGTAGGTGTGAGAGGAAGATATTAGGGACAGTGGTGAGGTGAGCAACAGGGTGGAGACTGGGAGTGTGAACTAGGATATTAGGGACGTGGACAGGGAGAGGCTGGGGCAGGATAGAAAATGAGAAGCAGGGGCGCCTGGGTGGCTCAGTCGGTTGGGCATCTGCCTTCAGCTTGGGTCATGATCTCAGGGTCCTGGGATCGAGCCCCGCATTGGGCTCCTGGCTCAGCGGTGAGTCTGCTTCTCCCTCTCCATCTGCCTCTCCTCCAGCTCATGTTCTCTCTTGTTCTCACTCTCTCTCTCTCTCAAATAAATAAAATCTTTAAAAAGGAAAAAGAAAGAAAATGAGAAGCAGTCACAAACGTTTCTTTTTCCTTGCCTTTCATTTCTCCCATTTTTTCTTTACTCTCTGTCATCCTTCTCTTTTGTGTATGAGACCAATGTCAGAAAGTGGAGGGGAGGAAGCACATAAATGAGTTTCCCTTATCAACTAGTTTCCCTTCTCTCCACTATGGTCTTACACCTCACTCTCCATTTGCCATTAAGAGGCTAAGCTACAAGAACATACTTATAATGTTAGAAATATATACTCAAGTATTTATGGGCACTGTAATAATATGATATCTCAGGGATGCAGGCTTGCCTTAAATGATTCAGCAAAACAAAACAAAAATTAGACTGGGTGGGGTAGAGAACAGACAAAACAAGAATGGCTGACTGTTGATAATTGCTGAAGTCTGGGAAGGTATATGGGGGCTTATTAAATTGTTCCGACTACTGTGGTATATATTTAAATTTCTATAATAAATAATATTATATTATATTGTGATATATATGCACATCCTGCACAATAAGAGTACTAATCTGCTATATAGTGTGAAAAAAAATATTTTGTCTTGTCAATTGCTTATCCACAAAAAGCAACAAAACTGGCTCAATCCTGCAGAGTATTAAAAATTATTCTTTGGGTACCTTAGAAAAAATATTCTTAGAACCTATTAGAGTAGGTAGAAATAAAAGGATTAAAGAGGAACTCTGGGGAACACAAGTTGTTACTGTCTTGGACAAGTTCTCTAACTCTAGACAAATGTTCCTGCTCATTATCTCTCATCTAGTCTGATGGTCCCAGGAGCCATGACTGAGCTAAAGGAACTACTTTGTATATGTTTTCTCCCTCATTTCCTTTGGGTTACATAGTTCATCTCAGGAAATATATCTGAGGTAACCCTGATGGCTATTATATTTGAATTCTTAAGGTCATCTTCATCCTAATTTTTAGAGGCACTGTTTATAATCCTGTTTTCCACAGGGCATATTAGAAAACATCCTTCCCTAGGAAAATTAGGAGACTAAAGATAAGGTCCGGGGTCCCATATTTCTATATGATATTTAGTGGTCTTTATGATTAAATTCTTCTAGACTAACTTGGAAAAATTTATACACTAAATATATAAATTCTAACCCCAGGGATTAGTGATCATATCAAGTGGGTTCAGGAAACTTCCCAAGGCTTTATGGAAAAAATTATACTTAGGGAATACAGTACTGTAATGAATTCTTCAGTAAGCATTCACTGAGTAGCTATGATGTATCAAGCTCTGGATTAGATAGCCTTGTCTTCTAAAGCCTGGTTAAAAATGCCAACGGAGAGATTTAATGAAGTATAGTGATAATGCAGTCACGCACACACACACATATTGTGGGGAGATACCTTCTTCTCCACCTACCCAATACTACCAAATTCCAGTTAGGAAGAAAGTATTTACAAACCATGAGGTCAAGACCACTTGCTGATAATGAAATATAACTGAATTATACTTTGGTCAGAGCACATTGCTTTGACAATAGTGTCTTCCTGACAAGCCCACGTTCCTCTGAAGTTACTTTTTCTGAAATGCTTCAGTGTTTACATGTAGAAGGAGATATACATAATCATTAACTTTAAAGGGCGCCTGGGTGGCTCAGATGGTTAAGCGTCTGCCTTCGGCTCAGGTCATGATCCCAGGATCCTGGGATCAAGTCCCGCATCGGGCTCCCTGCTCCTTGGGAGCCTGTTTCTCCCTCTGCTTCTCTCTCTCTCTCTCTCATGAATAAATAAATAAAATCTTTAAAAAAAAAATCTTTATAAAAAAAAGGAACACAAGGGAACACGGACTCAAGCTGGAAATGTTCAGTCTTTAATTTTATGTCTAGGTATGTAATTAAATCTAATCTAATTAGATTTCATAAATTCTTACCGTTTCAGGGTCATTTTCAAAGACCTCCCTGGCTTCTTCTTTATTGCACAATTCTTCAATGCATTCTCTTTCAAGATTACCCTTTTTGGTTTCCTCAAACATAGAATTTGCACGGCGTTTCCTAACCAGGAGTTGTGAAGCATGCTGCTTTGACAAAACTGAAGGAAAAAGTAAGTTTTTATGAGTAAGCTTTTCATTTCTCCACCTAAAATATGGTATTTTATTAAACAGTGAGAATTAAAATCATTGTCTAAAAAAAAATTAAAAAAAACATTGTCTAATTGTGAACTGCATAACATTTAAAATCAGTATAGAGAATTGAGAAGAAAAATATGCAGATACATAAGCACTTTGATTAACAACTCAGACAGCAAGTTTGGTGTGCAAGCTACAGCACTTGTATAATGATCTACATGAATCATTCAAGTTCATGCATGAGGCCAAACACACCAGACAATATTTAATGTTTACCTTATTATGACTACACTTGGGAAAAGCAGCATGCTGAAATGACTATATCAAAAGTTATAGCCACACATCTTTAAAGCTAGAGTAATAAGCTTTCTCAATTTTAATGGAAAACCACATGACCTCTGTAAAGATAGAGAAATGTGGGAGTACAGTCCAATCAGCTACTTAAAAGATACTTGATGAGCTAAAACATTTGATTTATTCATACAAAGGGAAAATAAAAATCTTTGGAAAAAAGAAGATCATGCGCAAAGCATAAAATACAGAAGGCAAAGAGAAAAAATTTGGTAATATCAAATGCATAATGAATTTCAAACAGCTAAACAAACAACAACAAAAATAACAAAGTTCAACATCAAATGACAGATTAGAAGAAAATATTTCATAATATAGAATGGAGAAAATTACATCCAGAATGTATAAACAACTTTTGCAAATTAAAACAATAACAACAACAATAAGCCAATGGGTAATAAGAATGTGTGCAAGATTAAATACAAAACAATATAAAGAAAATATAAAGAAAACACTATAATCAAAATCATATAAACATCACTAAAGAGGAAAATAAAAATGACCAATAAATATGTGAAAAGACATTCACTACAAATTTTTTAACTAGATTTTTGCTCATTAAATTTGCACAAACTTAAAAGACTGATAACATCAAGTAATGGTGAGGGTAAGGGGAAACAAGTATTCTTGTATATCGGTGGTAGGAATATGTACTGGTAAGCATTATTTTAAGGTAATCTGGTAGTAGCTGAAAATTTAAAGCACACATACTCTTCAATTCAACAATTCTGCTTCTAAGAATGTCCTGCAGATATGTACCTGTGCTGGAAAAGGTGTATATAGAATGTTTGTTGAAAAACTGTAATATCAAAAAATTAAAAACAATTTAAATAACTTTCAAGAAGGGAATGGAAAAATAAACTATAATACATCTGTACTGTGAATTAATATGCACTTATCAAAGAGAAGAAAGATATTCCTTTATTGAAGATCTTCAAGATATATTATTAAATTAAAAATGAAAATTGTGGAATGTCATACTATCACGTAACCCTATGTATACCAGCCATACTTGTAGATATGTAAATATCATGTGGACAGATACACAGAAAATAGTTTGGAAAGACACTCAAACTACTGATTGCAATTATGTTGGAAGAAAAGAATGGACAGCATGAAGCTTTGGTTTTATTGTTTTAGTATGTAAACAACACTACTTTTTAACGAAAAATTTTAAAAGCAAAAATAAAATCTACAAAAAATTTTTAAATCCTGATTTAAACCATAATAATGCTTTCACTAAGATGAGTAAGTAATATAAACAGATAAGTTTGTTTTTCTCTTTTTTATCTTATTACCTGGTGAAAAAGGCATACACAAAAGATGACAATAGAAGGAAGAAAAAGAAAAGCAAAAGGACTAATTAATCAAGTCACCATAATTATTAGTTGAATAACTGAACATCTTTCAAGAATGAAGTAAGTAATGTTATTTTATTTCTCCTACTTGCCAAAACAGAAGTTTAAATGTGATGACTAACTAAATAAATAGTGTTTGGGTTATATTTTTAACCCTACGTCTTACCATCTTTATCACTGTTCATTAAGATCAAGATTAAATCAAGGCTGTGTGTGTCTAACAGATGCTATTCTGTGAGCACATTACCTGCCAAGTGTATTACTGACTGATAAATGGTAGCCCTATCCACAATGGAAGAATCTGACATGGCCAATTATCTCATTTATTTGAAGTAGTTTTGAGGATGCTACTTTATAATAAATATGGCAAAAACTGAACCCTTCTGAACCTCAAAGCAAATATGTATCTTTCTGGGGAAAACAATAACATCTTTCTCTGAAAGATAAATACAGTGATGCAATAACAAAAAAATCAACGTTAAATGCACTTAGAAAACTAACCATAAACATCACTCTTTTGCATTTCTTTCTTATGGAATATTAAGTTTTGGAATTTAGATCTTAATATTGACATTTAAGAATATCTCTTCCCCTACAAGTGACCCCACTGCAGGACACAAACCAGGTTTGATAACACGTACTATATTCACGTTGTGAAAGGGGAAGTTCTCAAATGTCCACAGAAAACTAAGGTGTACATTTAAAGGAATGCTCACGTAAGTTTATAGAAGGAAAAGGAAAAAAAAGAGCCTCCATTATTTCAGAGAAGATGGAACTCACATAAAGAGCATGCAAGATAGTTGCCCTAAGTTATAGTGAATAGCAAAATTAGGACTTAGATCCCAATGTCCAGACCTGTGACTATCCATTACTATCCGCTCCTTCTCAAAAAACAGTCAGAGTTTTCATTTTCTCCACTGATCAGAGGAATCTTAAAAAAGGAAACTGTTACACCTCTACCCTAAAGGATATTGAAGTTAATAATAAAAACCTAATTTTGTCTAAATTTGAATGCTTATGTTTTATTTCATCTAGGCTCAAGCCAATAATGTTTTAAATTGGCATGGTACTTAATAATTTTCAATGTGTATATTATTTCATTTGATCATCACATAAATAATGCCATAAATCAAAGGACAGAATTATCATCCCCACTTTCCTTGAGTTACTTGAAGAAAATGAAGCTGAAAGAGGTTACATGACTTGGCCCAAGGTCATAGAGCTAGGATATGCTGCTAATGGGACAAGAATTTAAATATATCCATCCTCCTAATCCAGTGCTCTTTCTTCTCTATATCTGCCACTCAAATGCCAACAACGTACTTGATTTTAAAAAAAGAAATTATGTGGTTGTGGCATGGACAAGTTTGATATCTTAAATAAGACATTTACTGTCCTTGGGGCACCTGGGTGGCTCAGTCGTTAAGCTCTGCCTTCGGCTCAGGTCAGGATCCCAGGGTGGAGCCCTGAGTCGGGCTCCCTGCTCAGTGGGAAGCCTGCTTCTCCCTCGCCCACTCCCCCTGCTTGTGTTCCCTCTCTCGCTGTGTAGCTCTGTCAAATAAATAAACAAAATCTTAAAAAAAAAAAAAAGGAATTTACTGTCCTTTAGAAAATAAACCCATCCATTTAACAAGTGTGCTTTCAAAGGAGTCTAATATTCTTTGTCAAAAAAAATATAAACATGACATCACAGATCCAAATTAAGAACTACAGAACTGTAGGATGAGAAAACTATGTGGGTTAGAAGTGCTTTTAGGGGAGCCTGGGTGGCTCAGTTGTTAAGCATCTGCCTTCGGCTCAGATCATGATCCCACAGTCCTGGGATCAAGCCCGCATCGGGCTCCCTGCTCAGCAGGAAGCCTGCTTCTCCCTCTCCCACTCCCCCTGCTTGTGTTCCTGCTCTCATTATCTCTCTCTCTGTCAAATAAATAAATAAAATCTTTAAAAAAAAAAAAAAAGAAATGCTTTTACCAGCTGCCTCAGTCAATCTACCCAAAAGCATGCACCCTGCCAGACTGCAGGAATATCTACAAAGTTCCATTATTTATCATAATAGTCATGGCATATAAGCAAGTATATGCCATTTTTACATTATCTCCTTTAATACTAATCACAACTGTTCTAAGTAGACAGTAATTTTCCCATTTTATGCATGAACAAACTACAACTCAGGGAAGTTGAGTTAACCTTACCAAGCTCACACAGCTGAGAACAGAAGCCTGCCTCCAAAACCTGTTTTCCTTTTGCATTACTACACTGTCTCTGATCACTTGTTTCACTTCTTTGGATTAAGAAGTTTTTCAAGAAAGTCTGTTAAAACCTGAGTATTGTTGCTTGAAAAGTGTTACCTTCAGATTCATATTGTTAGGTATAATGTTTAGTTATGAGTCTTTCAAGTTAGAAGAATGACTGAACTATTTACATTTTTAACTTATCTAAGTCTTCCCTCTTCAAAATAGTGACCATAGCAGGTTGAACAATTACGTCAATAACATAACCATTGTTCAAACATTAACTGGAATTCCTTTTTGAAATTGTCTTAACAGCTTTCATATGTTCCCTTCGATATTTTCTGTGGGGGCAAATCTCTGTTTTTTGAGCATAAGATTTGATTGTCTTATCCTCAAAAAAGTCACTTATTGTTACTGGTACTTCATAAAAGCACCTGTAAATAAAGATAGTGGGGTTAGCACTCCCTCTGGTCAGAGGAGAATTTCCCAGTGTTCAATTCAGTTCCACCTGGTCAAAGGGAGGTCCTTTCCTGAGGCCCCTCTTTTCCCACTGAAGTGTTCAAACTTGCCACCCTCTGTTCAGGGGTTGGTTAGGACCACCGATCTGCAGGTTGCCCAGTACTGATCAGTCAGAAGAGAGTGAGGTTGCAGATGAAGGAGATACAAGCTTTGGGATAACCCATCCTCTGAATCTTTTCATTCTGCTCTCTTGTCTTTTGCCAAGATGGTTCTCACATTCCTCCTTCCAAAGCTCATCTCTTTTTTAGTTCTGCTTTCTGTCTCTCCTTTTCCCAGGCCCTACTTGTCTGTCATCCCAAGAATGAAGAACTACCCCTAAAAAAAATGCGTCTGAGAGAAAATCTCTGGCTAGAAATTGGGTTGGCAGAGTGTTTGAATCTTTGTTTCTGCTTCAATGTGGGATGAAGCAGGGGAAAATTGTTTTCAATGTACAAATAGAACAACTAGATAATACTTTGAGATGTAATTGTGCTTCATGTGTGTCAACTGTTGAAATGGCATGTT